CTGCAGCATTAATATTTCCCTTTAGGGGACCAAACCAGTAAAACAGAGCCACGCAAAGACCAAAGGCACGGAATTAAGATGTAAAAACATGCTAACTAGAAGTCTGAATCTCCTGTTTATTGCTTTATTATCTAGAAGAAAACCTGCCATGGTAGCACTTGCTGTGCGCAATGAAACTTTGGAGGTTTTCCAGGAGATTCTTCGTTGGTGGTTCAGAATACGTTCTTGCTGAAATCTGCAGCAAAAACACAATGGGGGGTGGGGGGTGGGTTCTATTAAAATCATGTGGCTTGACACAGGCAGGTATCCGCATCAGTGAAAACGCAAAGCGGCATTCATGAGCATTAATGAGCAGATGTCTTGTGTTAGAGCTGGTTTCTTCTTCTTCTTCCTCCTCCTCTTCTTCTTTTACACCGGCTCCTGTTTCATTCACCTCCCTCTGCCTGGATCTGATTACCCACAGTCCCTAAATCCGACGAGAAAGCTTCCTGCCTCGACTGAAAGTGCCAACTAGCAATTTATAGCTCTTCTTATTCTCTCTCTCTCACACCCACACACACACCATGAAGCAGTCCTTTTTCTGTATGGGTGGGGGGTGCTGCCATGTTACATGTTTTACGAGGGTCCGCTCTGAGATGGCTTTGGTGTTTTCGGGGGACCAACAGGAGAAATATGTGTGTCAGAGATTATTGTGAACCAGACCACGTACTGTGGCAGCTGGGCAGGACTGACTCGGTGATCAAGTGATCCTCCACCTAAAATCTAGCTTTAGGTTTCAGACACACAACTTTACTCCTGATCTGGCGGTTAAAAGTTTCTTGCATTTGTCAAGTTTCAAGCCCCACCATTGGTTTAGAACACATTCTGTTTCATGTCTAACAGTGAGATTGAATTTACAGTGAAAATACATGTTAATACTTGTTGTCTGCTGACTTCCTTTCCAAAATACTAACTTATCTTGACTGCCATAAAGGTTAAATGCAGTTACAGTAGGTCAGAACACATTTGAGCAGTCTGTCTACCTTTTCATATAAATATATAAGAAATGTTAATGCTAACTCAAAAGCTCCACTGAACTAGTTCATTCAGAACTTCCACACTAAGGTTACATAGGTGGAAAACTAGTAAGTGGATCTTTCAGTTGAGGGTATTTTGTCTCAAATAATATAAAATATAATAACACATCAATCCAGGGTTTTCAAACACAAAGAGTATTTTTCTACTTACTGTGACTGTGGCACATAACCAGTAACCAGCAGCTCTTCTGATTTCCCATTTCTCATTTTTCTCGTTTTTCTGAGCTACTATTGTTGTAAAAGGCCTTTGTTTACTGTAACTGTAGACAACAGGTTTGTCTTGTAACAAACACCAGAACAACTTTGGCTGCACAAAGGCATACAATCCTAGGAAATATGTTTTAAGGGACCTAGTTCTTTTCAAAAGATCTGTATATTTTGCAGTGAAAATAAGTTCAAACCAAAACGATGAGCCTGTAGTTAGTAGTACAGAACCACTGCTAGTAGGTTGACGATAGGTGGGGTATACATAATCCATAAAAGTTATTTATATTATTCTATATAATTTAATAAGTGACTTTTGTTTGATCAGGGTTGCCTCCCAACAGTGCACTAGGAACCCTGAACAGCCGCCAACCTGACGTTCACTCAGCAGTCAGCCCACACAGCCAGGCAGCAGCCCTCAGGAAAAACACTTGGTAGTCAAAAAACTGAGTGTCCCTGCTCCGCCCTGCAATTATTCACAGCCTCACACATCCATCACCCGCAGCAGCAGACCAGAGGGAGCTCCAGCACTTCGCCTCTGCTGAGACCGAATCACTCTCTGGTCCAAGTATCAGAGAGTGATTATTTATTAAACACTGTGTGAACAAGAATTTTTAATTTACACCGTTTTACAAACTTTTGATTATATATAATTATATATTAATTAATTGATTACTTAGTTCATTTCAATTTTGTGTAGGGCTGCTCCACCTGTCTCTGACACGTTTCTGGGCATTATAAACAATATATTCTTAATCTTGTATGAATGTTATGTTGCAACATATAGTATATACAGTATAACATGTCAACTTATGTGCAAAAACACTATTATTACTTTAAAAAAACATTTGAAATTATGTTTTTAAAAACATTTGTGCATTAAACTTAATGTGTTATTTTTGTAAAAAATGTTTTGCAGGCAATTTTGCTTTTAAATATTAACATTTTCTTTTGGCTAAGCATACGGTGGAAGCCATTTGATGCCCTGCTCATCACAATAACGTTTATTTCCCTACTTGCAACAGCTGAACTAAGTAAGACCATGACCTGGAGCTCAGACCATCGTGTTGGACATTTACAACGGGCAAGTCAAAAGATGAACTGTTCAACCTCAAAATATTCTCAAAGATGCAAATAATCAACCCTTGTGTGTGTCTTGGGAGGCTCAGTGTGTCATTTACTCTATTTTAACTGTAAACCGTCAGGTTGCGTTTTAGCTGAGACAACAGTTAAAGGTCACGACTGTGGTCTGTGGTCTATCCTCTCTGCCCTGCATGGCTTCATGTGCTGCTGCTGCTGCTGTCACGGGAAAAACTACGCAACCAAATTGGTGTTTATCTTATTCGTGAAGTAACAGATTCTGTGGTAAATTAAGTGTTTTCAGAAAGAACTGGTTGAAAAGTCCGCGGCATGGGTTCATAAATACACAGAGTTCAAGGAGGAAGGGCAAATTTCATTTTGAAAAGCAAGAAGAGAAGAGACTACTGAACCCTCGAGGGAAATATGCTTGTTGCAGCAGGAAAAGCACCAGGAATCAGAGGGATAAGAACACACACAAGCAGATCTGTAGCAGTGATACGTCTCTGTTAACAGAATGGCAGCATTGTGAAGCTCAGGGCCTTCTCCAATGACAATATGACATGTTTGTGTTTACGCCTCGCTGTGCGCGCCGTGGTGCATCTTATTCCCACTGACCAACATCCTGACTGACAAAAGAGTTTCTGTGCCCTAAACAGGAGGACGAAGGCAACTCAGAGCAGAAGACGACTGGAGGGAACATGAAGGCGAGACTGCACACACAGAGCTGCTGGTTTTCACATTTCATTAGCAACACAGGAGTTTTTCTATTCAGGTATTGATGTATTCAGGTCAAAACTTAGTCACCAAAATTACCTTTAAAGTCACTTAGCCTGTGCCTGAATTGTCATTAAAAACCCTATTAGAAGTCTAGTTAAACACCTACAATCACCCACAGGAGAAACCAGGTTTCTCTAAATCTCTCCACCAGAGAGTTTTGGGTTTCTACTTCAAATTATGATTATGAATTCATGTTACTGCAGTGTGAGTGATACAGGGATGTTTTGGCTCGTGCACCATTATTCTGAGGGTGTGTCTTGTGGATTAGGCCAGCTACTCAACGGGATCAGTTGATGCTTATGGGAACAATGATCGAAGTAAACTAAGAATTGTCAGATTTTATGTTTAGTCATTAACAATGCAAGCAAAACCAGTGTTCACTATATGCTTTCTTCACAAACTCAAACCAGGTTACATTTGAAAGGGGACATGTGTGTCTCATTACCCACAATGCCAATGAAACAGTCCCAAACAGGGCTGCAAAATAATGCCAGCTAATTGTCAGAAAACTGCACCCGTGCCTGAAGCAGTGAGCTGCGTCTGACCACCAACCCCTACCTTTTATATTATTATTTATATTTTCACCTTGCTCTGCTTTACATCTTAGTTTTTCAAATTCTCCTTGCTGAAATAATTTGAGCTTGAATCCTTGAATGTCAGTAAACTCCACACAGCACCACATGTTTACCACATGTTTACCATTCTGACTGACCTGTGATCCTTCGCACCACCAGCGACAAGACATGTAATGTTGGTGATTTAGATTTCCACAAATTCCTGTTGCGTAACAGGGGGAAACCTTTAGCATCTGCAGCTGTTGAGATGGGACACTCCAGTCTTGCAATCTCACTTTGTGATTCAGGCTCATTCTGATGGAACAATTTGATGGTTTTAATCTTGTAGCAATGCAATAATACTGTATGTCATAATGTTGGAAATAAAAGTGCACTGATGACTGATTCACACTAAATAAAATGTCTTTGTCCCTGATCCCAATCAGTTCCACACAGTGAGGTTTGCAGAAATTGGAAATTAGTTATATTATTATACTTACTTTGTTCTTATATAATTCTCCTTACTCTGTGACTATTTTGCTGCCAGAGCACCCCCATGTCCCCACAGGAATGAATAAAGTCTACTTGCCACATATTCAGGATACCTCGATGACCACAAACACAACAGTTCCCACAGAGTTACTGGGATGTCTCCTGCATCCGCTCTTTCTAATCCAGGGGCCAAATATTATCATTTCTTAAATGTAAATATAACTTTTTTTAAAGTCAGGGGGAAACGAACATCTCTGTCTGTCTGATACAACAATGGAGCGATGGCGGATGTGAAAGTCATCCAGCTCAAATCAAAGAGGAAGGATGTGAGGAAGGAAAGCAGCGGCCAGAGGATGGAGATAGTAACAGAGTGTGTGCGTCGAAGCATGTAGTGCTCTGATCTTCAGAGCTGCAGCCAAACTGCTCAGGGGACTTGAAATTTGATCAAAGTGTTTGGCACCCTCAGGGGACAGTGATTAACCAAGCTTAAGACCACAACAGTTTATTCAAAGTGCCAATTAGAGGACTTGATATAACCTCTGACAAGAAAGGTTCAGATATACTGACTGGGCGTTTGCTGCCAGTAACACCGTACAATCTGCACAAGTTGGGACTATTAGGAGGATGTGGACACGAGGAAACTTTCTCACAATGGAAAATTTTTAGATTTTCAGCTAACATCAAAATAGATTTCTGTGTCAGTCAGCTTGTTTTAGAGTGTTCTGCCCCCTAGTGCACAAAAATATATATTGCTGTAGCTTTAAAGTTTCATGAATTTGATAAAATTTTTGCCTGGCTCACAGTCAAGACCACCTACCTGATAAGGACACACTGGTTCTGCAGCCTCTTCCACAGTGAGCGGTAACACTCGTTGGCGATGGCAAATATGTGTGGGGAGATTTCACCAAGGTGGTGTCGGCTGTACAGCTCCACGGCCAGCCGGTCGTACAGGCCGGGGAGCCGCTGGTAAGGATTCACCGCCGCCAGGATGGAGCCGATGTAAGTCTGAATCAGAGAGATGATGCAACGTGTGTTAGAATTATAAACATGAATACAGTATGAAAGAGCAGATATATTATGATAATCTCAATATGTGAAACCCTGAGAAGGTAGTACATATGTAAGAATGTACATTTCTACAACACAATGGGATTTTAAAGTAGTGTGGAGTGAATACAGGGTTTGTAATATGACATCATTTCTACTTCAAAACCAGTTCATTGCAGGACTGGTCAAACTGGATTGGATGCATTAATTTGTTGAAATACCTTGAAGGTTCAGATAACATTTATTTCAGGGGATTATTCCAAAACAGGCTTTCATATCCAGTTATTTTACTTTGTCTGATTTACCCCAAATGGGGAATATTTATTGCTTTATTGACATAACGGACATGAAAGTCCACGGAATAACAAAACATTTTAAATTTTGGCCTGCAAAGTACTTTCCTCAGCATGCAATTAATGCTGCTATATTTACCCTTCAGGCAGCGTGAAAGCTAATTAGCGTTGTTAGCACATCTTTCTGAAACCAAAACATAACATTACTGTAAGTTAAGAAGTGTTGACACCAAAACATTTCACAGGCAAGTGTGAAAAGTGCAAGGAAAATAAAAATTATGGACTAGAATGAAAGTGTTTTGGAAAAGGTGTGTCGTACATTTAAATCAAAACAGACATTATGGGAGCACAACATTTTCATAACTTCCAGCTCGCTTATTAGTGTTGTTTGAAGATTTTTAGCCTCGTTAGCATGTCTTTTTGAAACCAACATGTACAGCCAGCGAGCAAACTAACAAGCAAAATAGTGTTGCTAAAACATTTCAGACACAGGTGAGACTAGCATTTGTGATTGTGAGACAATCAAAAACATGTATGAAGCAGGTAAAAAGTTGAATGTTTTTTGTTAAATGGACTGAATTGAAAATGAAGTGTCACATTGGACCAACAATTACAGAACATCAATTTCTGAAAACCCCTCTGATGACATGTGTAATAACTCATCTCTGAACCCATACGTCACTACTTGTCATTTAATAAGAGGCGGACAGAGCAAATCATCTCTGCTGCCTGTCATTGCTCAGGTGGAAGCACAGACGGGCCAAAGGCTACACATAATCCAATTTCTCTGACAAAAGCACTGTGATAAAACCCCATTAAGCTCCAGGTGGACGACAGCAAACATAACAAGCAGCCGAACACATGATCTCAGAAATACACAAAATGTCCTTCTTCAGTTCTCCTCATCGGGAAAGCTCAGCTACACAACCTTCAACACATTTGACCTTTTGTTTTTCTTTTCACCGCCCCCCCTCCCCAAAGAAACTGCAGATTTTCCAAACCAGCTTCATATTTCAAAGTTCAAAGCAAAACAAACCAAACTGCTTAAATAGAAGCTTGTGAAGCCAGAGAACGTGTTGGCAGCAGCCTCAGGGCTGCGGTGGTGACTAATGGATAAATAGGCAGGCTTGGAAAAAGGCAGCACATCAGCATGTATCTGTGAGAAAACAAATGGTTATTTCTGCCACTGGCCTCAGTTTGAAAAGTTGTAAAGGTTGCAGCAGCATCATCGGGGTTCTCAGAGTCACCCGGGTTGTGCAGAAAAATAAGGGGTCGCTGTCAGAAAGGCTCATCGTTATTGTCAGAAGCGAAGGTTTGAGCACTTGCAAAGGTTAGAAAAGCATTAAGTATTTTTTTTTAACATCCACTTGAGCATAAAAACAGTGATGCTGTCAAAACTGGTAAATGCTCAGAGGTGCAGTAAACCGGCTGAGAGACCTTTTCCATCTCTCAGACGTGGTCACATTCCAAGACAACAAATCTTCCTTAAATTAGTTGCTTTAAAAAAACAAAACATAGGAGGAGTAAAGGTGATCACAGTTTGTAAATGTTACAAATGACTAATGGCTGGTTTACCAATAAGCACCCAGCTAACTGTTCTTAAATCCTTTGTATTACATTTGAGACATTAGAGTCTGATCTGAAAGGTAACACTTTGTGGAGTTTACTTTAAAAAAGCCAGAGTAGGCAATGCACACCAGAGGCCTCTAGATTCAATTCAGGACAGAGCACCGTCTCATTTCCCAGCCCTAAATAGAGAACTAGCAATTTTATTACATTTGATTGATAGATGGACGCAAACTGTACCTTGACCTTTTTTTGTGTGCGTTACATTTCATTTATTTATGAGATATATAAGAACAATGCACAAAAAAAAATAAAAAATAAACATTTCTGTAAAAGTTCCAGTGTTAGCCAGCTGGCTTATAGCATGAATATTTGGTGTGCTGTGGCTGTCAAGTGACACTTGTAATGGAACAATTTAGCTGGGTATTGCAATAAATCGAAATAATTGTTCATAATTTAAAAACAAATCTCTTTAAATCATTTTTTTTTATAATTTCTATTTTACTGCTCTGCTTTTGACATTTGTAACATTGTCCTGTGTAACTGACAGATCACTTTCTCCAAGAACACTGCAAATAAACGACCATTGCATGCAGCTGCTCCACTGCTCATGTTTCTTTCTAGGACAGCTGCAAAAGGGAATTCCCAGTAACTTTAAGGCTTAAAAGGTAAGATTATTATAAACTTCACCCTCATGTCTCACTGGAGTCTTCATGTTCGACCATATACCTTTAAAGTGGATAAAGATGACAGTTTCTGAAGATAAGAACAGTTTTGTCTGTTAAACTTGGAGTGAAAGTGAAAATCTCATTACAGCAGCGCACAGTGTTCCCATAACCTCACATTAGACTGTGAGTGCCTCTGGCCTGGAGGAGGACATGAAATGCATTAAGAAGAAAGAGACAGAGAGAGCTGAACATTTTGGTCTGGAGAGCATCCCCATCTCCCCTCTGTTTATCTCCATAAAAACACAACATCTGAAAGAAAACATGGCTTTCAGCCTTCTGTCAGTCACAGTATGAGCAGAATTTCAGCATCTTGTTTTACTCTTTAAGAGGAGTATTTCATACTTACTGCATCTGTAGCCATTTATTATTGTTTTATTACCTGTAATAAAGTCAGTAAATGTGCTATTCAAGTTTATTATGAAAAAGTAGAGCTTTAAAGCGTTGTCTCCTACTAAAACAAGCCGAAAAATTAAAAACAGAAGACTAATTTTCCTTGAAACAGTTTCCAAATACTGTTTACTTTGGATGAATAGGAAAGAGGAAAAAAAACTAAAGGTCTCCTTCTAACGTAGTCTGCCATGCCTGAGGTGAAACCATGTTCAGTGCTCTGAAGTGGCAAACTCAAATTACAGCCATAATAACGATAATTAGTGTAATAGGCATGCCGATGTATAGGGCATGGAAAGAAAACCAACAATAAAATCCCCCTGGCAATGCAAGGTTTCAGCTGAGCATTTGTTATCGAGCTCAGTGTGTATGAGAACCTCAGCTGAATGGAAATAAAGAGAGGAATGAAGAAAATAGCTTCTGTTGTCTCACTGTGTATATTTTCCAGAGATCAATAGTTAATATCTCACTCAGCTTTCAACATTATGAAAACAAGAAAACATCTAACCTTAAAACTACACATGCAACGTAGCATTAAAATTGCCCAAATATGACATGATACTGATGCTGACATTCACCCAATAACTGGTCCCATTAGTCGCATCAGTAGTGGTAGCCTGTGGTGTTTAAAGAGGTAGTATTAACAGCAGTCATAGATTGTTGTGGTAGTTATAGCAGTATCCGTGTTCAGACAGACAACAGTGTTGCATGAAAAAATGCAGCCCCCTCATTCTTTTGAATTCGATCGCCACTGATGTGTGTTTAAAAGTTAAACCTGGCTCAACTTTTGCTGCAAGGCAATATCATCTGGCTAGATGCTGCAAGGGCCAATCAAATATGTGCAAGTGCACATTCCTGGTAGATTATTTTGCTTAGATGTGAATGCTGTATTTTACCGTTTCCCTTGCCATTGACACAACAAATTTTCCAGAGTTGTAAGATCCTGTGTGAGAGTAATTTAAACCTCTGCGCAGTGTTTTGGTTTCTGATAAACTTTCCGAGTCATGTATCTGTTACTCAAACCTGCCTTCCTGGGTCGTTTACTGACCATGTTTTTCTCATTATCTTATTATCATTAACAAATCCCACGAAAAGATCCAGTCCAACAATGCGTTAGTCCACCTCTCAGTTCTTTCTGACTTCTCTCCCATCTGTGGCTCTCAGCTCCAAGCCCACTGGTTCTCCTGAAGATCCAAATTTTAAGGATATAGTTTGATTTTCAAAAAGGCTTATTACGGCATTAAGAAAAAGCCATTAAATGACTATGAACCTGCCCCAGCAGTGATATCTCATTCGTTTACACATTTGAACTACCCCTCCCTGTGTTACATCCTGGCTAAACATCCTGTACAAACAAAAAAACCCATCAAACTACAGAAGCAGTACACTCCTTTTGCTAATGCTGCCGGTTTTACTGATGAGGAGGTCTGCTTGCACAGGACTCCCCTCCTGTACAAACGTCTTTATCACCTGCCCCATGTTGCTCACTAAACCCCTTCCACTAATCTCCCCTCGCCATTCACCTACTGACTGACTGACCTACATTCAGCCTGGATGCAAATACATTTGAATGGCAGTTGAGGTGACAGTATTTACATGATAAATATTGGCTCTGCACTGCAAAAGTAAAAAGAGGAAGGGGTGTTGTTATAGTGATATACAGTGGATCATACATGTTATCTCTCAGACAGAGCTGAGTGTAAACACAGCGTGGCAGCTCTCTGCTCAGGTGAAGGAGTCAGTTTATAGGCATAAGAGCAGAGAGGTCCGTCTTCCGCCGGCAGAGTAAACACTTTACAGTTGGACTGATCTCTGGCTCTGAGGCTGTCGTGCATCACTCCGCTCATCTTGTAAATGTCTTTGTAGATGCTTATGTAGAGTTGTGTAATGTTTGGGAGTTTTACTTGAGTTCTTTTTTATAGTATATGCGGAAAGTCGACTGAGAAACAAGTTTGTGCAACGTCTCAAACTTCTACACCTTGTG